GGCAGGGAGAAAAATGGTTGAAAAGGCTGGGGCAGACAGGCTATCAACAAAAGGATTCAGCCTTGGACACAACAAAGGCAGAAAGGTGTGTTATATGGGAATCTTTTCCCCTGGCCCGAATGCAATTGAAAATTTATTTTAGTCTATTTGCTCACTGTCAGCAAACAGCCATGAAATGCACAGGTAACCTTAATTCTGAGGTTTCTGAGTGCTTGATGTTTCATTCTTAATATTATTTTAACATAACTGTACACACACACACACACGATTAAGTAGGAACAGTATTCTGGATCAAACAGCTAGTCACAAAATGCAAGTTAATACATGTTTTTTCAGAGCAGATGGCTGTGGGCCCTGCATGGAACAGGGTGGTGATCATGCTCAAATATGGTAGAAAGGAGAGCACATCTCTATACTGCATAATTTCTTCAGCCATTATCACACCCTATGCATTTGTGGTTCTATGGATGCTAAACTGTAGTAGGTAGGGAAAAGACACTTTTAGCACCACAAACATTTCTAAAACCCACGTTTTCCTGTGGAAGAGTTCCTCTGAAGTTGAATTAACAAAAATTATGTCAGTGGACTCAGTGCTCATCTTAGCAACACAAGGGAGGGTACAGACAGAGCTGTATCACTTGCCCATCCAGACAGTTATCCCCTTACGGCAGGGGTGGGCAAAATATGGCCTGTGGGCTGGATCCAGACCACGAGGCCATTTTATCCGGCTTGTGGGGCCCCTAAAAAATTTAGATAATACCTATCTGCCCCTAGCTCCTATCAAAGATGACTGGAGCCAGGGCCAGTAGGACCCAGGGGAAGCCACGACAGACTCCTGCAACAGCTTAACAGGCTTGTGGCTTGGGACCATGGGGCTGTTCATGCCTGTACCGGGACAGGAAATTCAGGTAAGAAGCAGGGGGAGGGGAGGACTGGGGCGATCACCTCAGTCCTTAGGGCCAAGCTGTCTCCTGTCGAGTTTCACAGCTCAGCCAGCAGCCACATGGTGCAGGGCAGTCAGCGGGCAGGCAGGCAGCAAGTGGGGAAAGTGGCAGCAGGGATGGCACCGAGCGCAAGTGGCGCTTGGCCAGGGTGGCAGTGTCGCAGTGGCAGATGCCTGCCACCACAGCAGTGAGGTGGAGCAGCCCTTGCAGCTCCCCTCAGGGCCGCCAGTGTGGTTGTAGCAATCGTGGTGGAGGATGAGGTGGGCTCGGCTGCTGCCGCCTTGTCCTTGTCACTGCGCTCACGGTGCTGTGCTCTGCCTCTCTATGCAGCCATTGCTGCAGTGGTGGGTAGCTGCCATTGGGCAATGAGACCAGGCAGCCACCGCCACCACAGCTGTGCCTCTGTGTCCGAGCACCACTTGTGCTCAGCACCATCCCCATGGCAGGCTGAGGTGGCTGGAATTGCAGCAATTGTGCCAGCGACAGGAGTGGGTGTGGGCCCAGAGTCAGCAGTCATGCATGGAGGCAGAGCACAGCTGCCAGGCACTGTGGAAGCACTGTGGCAGCACCAGCTGCTCCCACAAGCAGCACTGCACATTGCCTTGAGTGCAGTGGTAAGGCAGCAGCAGCTAAGCCCACCTCATTGTCCTCTTCCACTGTAGTCACCACTGCCAAGCCCCACAGCCACCACAACCACTCAGAGGCCCCAAGGGGTGCCACAAGGGCCACTCTGTTTTGTGCGGGAGGCCAAGGAACACCATAGCTGACCCAAAGCTGCCAAGCTGTTGGCCAGCTCTCCTCTCTCCCTGCTGGCAGCCCAGCCCGGCTCTGTAGACTTCAGCCAGTCCCTGCTACGCTCTGGGCCCTGAGACACCAGGGCAGGCCCCATGCTCCTGCATGCCACTTGCTTCCACTCCCCCACCTCCACCCTCCCACTGTTGCTTTCCCCACTTTGCTGCCCACCTGTCAGTTGCCCTGCATAATACCATACTCACACACATCCACACAAACCCACATACCCCCCCCACACAATATACAACAGTAAGACTGCACTATGAGCTGTTATGCAATCATTTCTATGTATACAGCACAAAACACACACAAAGCAAGACAAAAATATATCTTTTTAATTTAATTAAAAAGATATATTATTATGGGTGCTTGATTTTTAGTATATAATATGTTTGGGTTTTTTTCCCTAAGAAGACAAACCCTCTTCCCCAAACGAGTACTTCCAGGGGCAAGGGGAGGGACTTCCAGTGGCAAAGGTCAGAGTATAGGGGCAGGACTTCCAGTCCCAAGATGGCAACCAGGCAGTGAGGCACCTGTCAAGGGGTGGGGCTACCCATGCGGCCCTTGATACCTTGGGCTTGCCAAAACTTGGTAAACAGCCCTCTGCCCAAAATAATTGCCTGCCCCTGCCTTATGGATTCAGGGACCAGGTGTGAGCATAAAGAAATGAATTCCATAACTTTGGAAGTTATGTTTTGCGAGTTCTAAGAATTATGAGGAAGTCTTCACTGAAAGAGGACATGATATATGTACTATTGAAATCATCATATACAAATGACATGATGAAATAAAATTACAACTGTTCACTAGGAAACAGTTTGTGATGCTGTCTGAATTGAAGCTGAAGCTGTAATACCACAGATATCCACTTAATATTTCCAGAAGCAAGTATTTAGTTTCATTATAGTTCACATTATGCAACTACTACATCAGTAAGACTCATTTCTGTATATCATATCCAAATTAACAAATAAAAGACTTACACTTTTAGAGGCCAGGCAATAAAATGCCACATGGAAACCAAATTTTAAAGTGTTCGTGGAGTTTATACAAATACGAAAGATAGATGTCTGGAACAAGAAAGATATCTGGAACCATGTTGGAAACCTTAAAGTTTTTTTGTTTTGTTTTTTTTTTTTAGTCCAACATCTGATGGAATTGTTATCCAGTCCTTTGATTAATAAGTTACACCAAGCTCTTTGCATTTTTTAACACTGCTGGCAAAATTATAACACACAGTACACATGTTAATTTTCTAATAGAATTACATTGGTTTGTTTTCAAAAAAGCAGATCCTTTATGAAAACAGTTACTTTATACTAGTTTTGTAGTATGTTTTGAATTATAGTTACTTTATACCTCTCAATTCTGTTCTCCTTTCGTCTCTTGTAACTCCTACTACTATTTCTGTTAGCTTTTTTTTAATATAGAAAGAGGAGAATAACTTGACTCTCCATTGTCCTATGCTTTATGGAGTCATTTGCAACCATGCAAAATTAATTTACACTGGGTGTCAAACCAAATCAGAATAGAAGTGTTCTGTGGAAATTATTACAAAAGATATAGGCAATGGAGAATCAGGCCCATAGGGCTAAAACTAGAAAGGGTTTAACCCAACTACCATTTTAAGCATCCAAGTCCAAAGTTTAGGTGCCATAGTAGCCCTCAGAACCTCTGCTCAGTTACTGCCTACACCTGCAGATACCTAAAGTTCCTAGGGGATTTTACTACCAGAAATGTAGGGCTGCTTGCAGATGGTTAAAAAAGGGAAAAAAAAAAGTGGCGCTTTATTTTAAATTCTGCGTATTGCTGTGCTGAGCCCAGCACCTGTCCAGAAGAGACAGTGTATTAATTGGACCCTGCTCAAGCAACGTCTGTATAGATTGTGAGCTTTAGTGGGGCTTTTTTGGTACTTTTATCTAATAGCTGATTGAATCAGTTATTACATAAAAGCACCAAAAAGCTTCACTGAAGTGCCTGATCTATACAAATGCTGTGGAGCCAGGTCAAAGAAATGTGCTGCTGTTTCTGGTAAAGCATGGGGTTGGTTGTTTGTGGGGTTTTTTTGTTTGTTTGTTTTTTTTTTAATGTCTGCAAGCAGCTTAGGTGCTAATCTTCCTACCAGCAAGCATGGGCACAACAGCCCAAATCAAAACAAGGCAGTGTTGCTCACTGCCCTAGTTCATGCATAAGTCCCAGTGGCATTCCCAAACCAGACATTTTCCTTCATATCTTATCTTCAAGTCCTTATCCAATAAGCATTCTGAGAGGAGACCTCTAGCAAAATAAGTCTAGGACAAAAGAACAGTACTGTTAGCTCGGTGATTAGGCAATTGTCTGAGCAATGGAAGCCTTTTTCAAATCCCCACATTGCCCAGTTTGGAGCAGAAACTTAAAACTCATATCATCCCAAGCTAGGAGTACGCACTTACTACCAGCCTACTGAAGTAGAGGCATCTGTATCTCTCTAGTGAAGCTGCTTCATTCTATGCAAGAAATTTTAAGCAATTTATGGAGCAGAAACTTGTCTACCTCCCACATGAGTCCTAACCACTAAGCTAAGAAGTCATTTTCTCTCTGGCCAAATGAACAAACATTTCATTATTTAAGCAAACTGAACAGCTCTGATGATAAAGCTTGAGAGAGGCTCATTTCAGGATATCCAATAATCTTGGAACTGAATGCTCTGTAGGGATTTAAGAGAGTTTAGAGGAGGAACTTGAACTCAACTGAGCAGATATTTAAAAAAAACAAACCCCAAACACACCCTAGCTATTTTGTGAGGAACTCTCACGGGTTTTTCAAGAGACCTGGGTTAGAAGAGGGTTCATGAGTGAGAATCCCAAGTGCAGTTAGACACTCAACTGCCTTGGATGGGGAGGCTTAAGTTTTTCTAGGGTAGCTTGGATGGCTCCTTGCTTAGTGTTCTAGGTTCTGCGAATCCCATTTGTTTGTGCCTAAACTCTCCCTATGCATTGCATAGGCAGCCTAGCTGCCTAATTCAGGGCTGCATGAATTCCACTTGGAGGCATGGAGCCTAAAAGTTAGACACTGCAGTATTCATTCTTTGGATTTACCTCCTTGTATTTATGATTTTGTTAGAAATTTTATGTCAAAAACACAGTATTACAAATATCCATTGAAAATAGCTGCAGTGGAACCCCAGCTGGGCAGGCTTATTTTTCCCTTCACTGGACATGTCTACACATGCTATTACTGTGCATGAATAAGCTCCGGAGCTTATTGCTCTGGGGTTTATTGCTCCTGGGTGTGCCATCTGAATGGGTGCCCAGGAGCAATTAACTCTGGATCAGTAAGATCCAGAGTTTATTCATGCATGGCTTGGGGAGCCATGTTGGAGCAGCTTTGGCGAGCAGGGGGCTCTGGGAGGTCAGCCTATCAGACTGGGACTGCTTCTCCCAGCTCAGTGTGCTGTGGAGGGGCTGGCTGGAGCATGAGGGAGCTTCAGCATGGGGCTAGCTGGCAGGCAGCCCCTGGACTGAAGCACCCTAATGCCCAGCCATCCCCTCCAGCATCTGTGTGTGTGCTGTTGTGGGTTTTTTTTTAGTTAACTCCAGCCTAATATGGGGTCGTATAGATGCTGAGATGTTTATTGCACAGGTTATTAGTCAACTGTGCAGTAAAGGTCTCACATAGATGTGCCAACTGAATCTAAAAATTAAATTCATCCCAAGACAGAGGACCATCCAAAAGCTGCCTGTTAAGGGTTTATAGGGTACAGAGGTCTTTGAGTAGTAAATATGATTGGAGATGAATAAGGCTGTATATATCTACATATTGTAAAGATTTGTTAACACTTTAATAAGTTGTCAAAAATTCACTAGTTGCTTAATCTGTTCAGTTTGTAATGACTGCCTCCTCAACAACATTCTTGTACTTTTGGACTCCTTGGGAAAAGCAGGTGCTGTTGGAATTAGGGTTTTTTGTCCACAAGAAACCATCCCAGAAATCTTGTTGCTAAAATTAATATCAGGAAGTAGAGGATGGGGATTCACATTTAAAGGAGGAAGGAAACCAGGCCTGGTTTGGGCAATATGATCTAGCAGGAGAGCTCCTGAACCACGTCTCTCTAAAACAGCATGATTTCTTCTACTCAGAGGACCAAGAGGTATGTTCTCCAACAATTCCCTGGAACTTGATAACAAGGATGAAGATGGAGAAAGAATCCTTTTCTTTCCTAGAAATGACTTGCTATCTTCTGTGGTAGCAGGACTCCTAGTGGTAGTTAACTGAGAATCGGAGCTGTAATGATTTGCCCCTAAGCTTCTCTTTTGAATAATACTTCTCAGGGTTGAAACAAAACTCATTTGAACTGAATCTGAATCCCGATCCACTGGAATTTCACTCTGATTATGTTTTGCCTCAGCATAAAGTGACTGAGAATTTATCTCATCATATGATAACTTTCTTGAACCAGTTTGATCAAAGGATTTTAACAGATGAGCAGTATCTTTTACATCAATACTTTGGTGCCTGGTGATATATCTCTTGGATAAAGCCAGACTATTGATTTTAAAAGACAGTTCTTCCTCTGGAGTTATATCCTGAAGTTCTTCTTGTAAAGAGGAAATTTTATTCTGATGGAACAAGGAAGGAGAACTCTTTATCCAAGGCTCAGACTGCAGACGTTGCACTGCTGATAACTTGGATCCTCCATGTGTTAAATTAGGTTTTTTAGTGGGAGAAACTGAATTGGATATATCTTGTTTGTTTCTTGGGTGATCCAGCTCCTTAAAACTAAAGAGAGCTTTTTCTGTTTCACGTGAACTCGAAAGTGGAGATGGAGATGTTTTAAGTTCTATTTCTGAGGGAGAAGTGCAGGCATTTGGAGAATGACATTCCTCAATGTCAGCTGGAGGCACATTCAAGTACTGTTTAGTGGTTTGTCTTCCAGATGGAGACTTGTCTGTTGTAATAATGATTACTTCTTTTCCTCTTGCTTTGCAAGCATTTAAGAGAACTTTCAAGGTCTCCCTCTCTTCAGAGTTTACTGCATATACAAGTGCAGAGTAATTAGAATGATCTTGTAGACTTGGGTCAGCTCCACTTTTCAGCAACAAAGAAACCACTTCAGGGCCAGCTTTTTCCAAACAAGCATGCATCAAGGCTGTCTTTCCAGATTTGTCCTGTATATTTGGATCTGCCTTATTTTCCAGTAGATATTTAACCATTTTTGCTTTGCTGACACTTTGATGGTCCACATGCTTAGTTTTACAAGCAATCATCAAAGGGGTTTCACCTCTGTCATTACTCTCATTAATGTAAGCTCCACCTTCTAACAATAGTCTCGTGAGGCGAAGTCTGCTTTGATAGACAGCTTTTATCAAGGAGTTCCCATCAGTTGACACTTCTACAGCTTCATCCATTGTACCAGTCTTTTACTTATACTTTCCTTTCCTAGCTGTTGAAAACACCTAGTTTTCAGAGAAAGTGAATAGGAAAAAGATTAACCAGCCTCTAGCTTCTCCAATTAATAGTATTTTGTGAACAAGAGTGTCTCTCATTAAGAAGTATTGCTCAGCTTTAAAAACCAAAAACTGAATTAGTCATATGAAACAATAAAGATATACCTCTACAAGAGGTACAACTGTAAGGAACAACTCTTTCATGTGCAAGCCTATGTTATACCTGTACCAAACATAGTCTTAGTCTGAACTTCCTTATAATAACGTTAAACTGACTGTTCACTCAATTACCATTTTCGTGCAGTTCCACTGACTAGAGAGCTACTCAAGGTTTATGCAGATGGCCAAAAGAGCAGAATTTAATCCTGCAATATTTTTTTTGTATCAGCACTAGATACTACATCACAGTGACCCATTCATAGAACCATAAAGTAAAATATCCATAAAATAGAAAAATAAACAAATGTATAAATGAACCCAAATAGCAGCAAAATATCAAAACCAAACTCTAATAAATTATTTCCATATTAAGATATAGTTATTGAAAACTGTCACAAGGGTGGGTATGGGCATCCAATATAAAAATAAAGCTATTTCTAAATGTACGATACCTTCCTTGGGTTGCTTTGAAAATGCACTTAGATGTAAACAGCAGCAATGGAATGAAATATAATATGCTCCACACATTGTAGGGCTCATTCCCTGAGAACGGTCAAGTGCCTGCCCATAGAATATCAACCCTAAAAGAAAAGAAACACCTGTTAAAAGCAAAAGTAAAACACAGTCACATTTAAGATTAGGGAATAAGTTCCTGTTGAACAAAATCAAACAGTGTATACTATGTATGAACAATTCTTTATGTATGTATCAATGATAAACTTTATTCCTGTGTTTCACCAATGAGAGGTTACTACTGTGAAGAAAAAAGAAATATTAGCGTTATCAGGATAGTTGTAAAAGAAAAATAGACATGATTTTAAAAAAAGCTTTAAAAAGAGTCTTCTCCCAATACAGAAATAAAAATATTTCCTTATCAAATTTCTCTTTTTCCATTTTGAAAACAATATATTGATGTTAGTTTCAGTTGCAAGTAGGTAAATAATTATTTTGGTTACATCTTTCTTTATATAATAGCACCATACCACCAATAGATGCATTTAATTTGAAAAAAGCTGTACTTAGCATAAGACTAAATTAGTTCCTATTCTTGATATCAAGGTCTGTTTTACATTTGTATTACTTAGGGTCAAACCAAAGATTGTTGAAATCAAGGTCCTCCAGCACTAAAAAATTATCCCTGGTCTGTTGTGCCCCAGTGGCTGTTACCTGGCTTCACCCCTCCCTCTTTCCAGAGCAATTTCAAGAGATAAAGTGTAAAGAGAGCATATACAGTGGAACCTTCTTGCACTTTCATATAGCTTTGATTGCTCTCCAGTTGTGAAAGGGAGCTGATGATTTGTTACCATATTGTAAGAGGCTGTGAGGAACCTATTTCCCTGCATATTTTTGATCTGCAAATAACACTGAAATATATCATTGCTTCTATATTTTTCATTCTATGATTCTAAAAAAATCATAGAATTGGAAGAGCTCTCAAGGGTTGTCTAGTCCATAGTTTCTCAGTCAGTGGTATGCGTACCCCTGGGGGTATGAGAGACACAGGCAAGGGGGTACGTGGGCTTGGAAGACCTCCACAGCAAGTGGGTATCGCCACTCCCCCTGCCACCACCAGGTTCACGTCCGGCCGCTCACCCCTGCACCCCAAGCCGGCCACAGGCTGCTGCAGGAGGGGGAGGGTGGGCACACACATACCTGTATGCTCCCCACTTACAGGCAGATAAGTTTCTTCCTTTTTTATCCTGCCTAGGCTTTGTTGGGAGGAAAGACCGAGACCCCCACAGTGCAGCATGGAGTGTGGGAGGGGCAGGGCGCTCTGGGGATTGCCCCACAACCTTCCATGTGACAACCTTCCCTGTTCGGGGCCCTGTTCACTGCGCACGGGTCGGGCTGGTGGTGGCATTGGGCTCTTCCTGGTGCTTGGGATGGACTGTGGCAATAGGAGAGGGGCTGCTGCTTACCCCCCGCAGTCCCGCTACTGCCGAACGTAGGGAAAAGCCCCGTGCTGCCACCAGCCCCCCCACCTGTAGCCAGCCTGGGCTCCATACCAGCGACTGCATGTGCGCCTCAGAGCAGAGAGCGGGGGAAGGTTGCACTGCCCTAGACCCTATCCCCGCTCTCTGATCTGAGGTGGACATGCTGTCGCTGCTGGCACAGAGCTGATGATGGGGCTCCGGAGCTGAGTGTAGCTGTTTGTAGCCAGCCTGGGCTCTGGGGCAGGCATGCATGCAATTGCCGGTCTGGAGCTGATGCTGGGGCTGCGGAACCCGGTGCAGCTGTTTGCAGCCTGCCCGCTGCAGCTGCCCAGAGCCCAAGCTGGCTACAGGTGGGGGGCCGGAGGCGGCACAGGGCTTTTCTAGGCTGCGCTGCCTCAGGGTCCACCCCCACCATCAGCTTGGAGCCACAGGATGCTGGAGCCTGGAGCAGCTCCTTCGCAGCCTCCCGGCTGCAGCCAGCCCAGGCTATGGGTAACTGCTGCCAGCCAGAGAGCCTTGGCTGCTTGCAGCAGGGCTTGCAGTTTTCTAGCCACCTGCTGAGAACAGCCCAGGCTCCATGGCTGGCAGCACCTGCCTAGAGCCCAGGCTGGTGGTGGCATGCCGAGCAGGATGGCCTTATGTGCCATGCTTGTCCCATATTTGACCTGGGGGGAAGTGGGCAGTGGAGTCCCCCAGGGCTTGGTCCTTGGGCCTGCGCTGTTCAATTTCTTTCTCAGTGATTTGGACGACGGGGTGAAAAGCAAGCTGTTTAAATTCACTGATAATACCAAAATTTGGGGTGAAGTGAGCACACTAGTAGGGAGGGAAAGACTGCAGCAAGACCTGGATAGGTTACAGGGGTGGGCTAACAAAAACAGGATGCGTTTCAATACTGACAAGTGCAGGGTGCTGCCCTTGGGCAACAGTAACCAGCAGCACACTTATAAGATGGGAAATTCCCTTCTTGAGAGCACGGAGGCAGAAAGGGATCTTGGAGTCATTATTGACTCCAAGATGAACATGGGCTGACAATGCAAGGTCATGGTTGGCAGGTCTAACTGGACCTTGTCGTGCATCCACAGGTGCATCTCAAGTAGAGCCAGGGAGGTGATCCTCCCCCTCTACGCAACACTGGTCAGGCCACAGCTGGAGTACTGCATCCAGTTCTGTGTGCCCCACTTCAGGAGGGATGTGGACAACATTGAGACAGTCCAGAGGCGGGCCACCCTCATGATCTGGGGACAACAGGACAGACCGTACAATGAGAGACTGCAGGACCTGAACCTGTTCAGCCTTTGCAAGAGAAGGTTGAGGGGGGACCTGCTGACCATCTATAAACTCACTAGGGGGGACCAGAAGGGTTTGGGAGAGAACTTGTTTCCCCTAGCGCCCCCTGGCATAACAAGGAGTAACGGCCACAAGTTGCTGGAGAGTAGGTTTAGATTAGACATCCGTAAGAACCACTTCACAGTTAGGGCGGCTAGGAGCTGGAACCAACTTCCAAGGGAAGTGGTGCTGGCTCCTACCCTGGGGATCTTTAAGAAGAGGCTTGATGCCTACCTGGCTGGAGTCATTTGAGCCCAGTTTTTCTCCTGCCCAGGCGGGGGGGTCGGACTTGAAGATCTACAAGGTCCCTTCCAACCCTACTTCTATGATTCTATGACCCCTACCCCACAGACTTACCATGCTGAGCAAAATGGCCTCGCATGCCATACTTGGCACACGTGCCTCAGGGGTTGCCAACCCATGCCCTACAGACTTACCTCACCATGCCACCCTCTGCTTCTCCCTGTTACCTCAACCCCTGCTGCAGTTGCCCTGGCAGACAAGCAGCCAACACCACCTGCCTGCACTACAGCAGGTGCAGCCCAGGGGCTGGGGTGAGTTGGGACAAGCAGGGCCCTGGAGCTGATCACATAACAGTGAATTTACCTCGCATATAATGAATTGGGGGTGTAAAAATAGTCATCACATAAGAGTGAATTCATATATACCAAACCCACATAAATCATGGGAAGGAAACCTGTATATTTTCCTAAAATAAGATACTTTCAATATTCATCAACCCTGCGCTTGCTTGCCAGCTTTTATGCATCAGAACTCTCCTGCTTTATGAGAAATAGTCATTCATCGGTAAAGGGGAGAAAGATTGTTTCTCAGAGTTTAAGCATGTCCCTGTCTGCTGTAGTTTCCACTTTAAGTGTTTAAATTTAAGTGGGCTAATTTTACTGTTTATGAGGGTGTTAAAATGGATCGTTTTCTTGTAAAAAGAAAGTCTTCAGATTTAGAAGAAGGTAGTGCCCAGACAAATGTGCAACAAGTGTTGGAGCAGGAAGAACATGTTTCTAAAAAAAACCAAGCCTCAGTAGTGAAAGTACAAAATCTTCACAGGTTCATAAAGCACGTAGCTATGATCTCAGTTATCTGGCTTTCAGGTGAACAACAAACAGAGATATACCTTCATTACCACTCTGTGATTTGTAATGAGATACTGTCTAATCACTGTATGAAGCCTTCCCTTCTGAAAAGGCACCTTCATACTAAACATCGTGATCTGATGGACAAATCAATAGATTTTTTCACAAGAAAATGTGAAAGTTTGAAAAAATCAAGTGCTGCTATGAAATCATACTCTGCGCTCCCTAAACAAGCTCTACAAGCTTCATTTGAAATCGCACACGTGGTGGCAAAAATGAAGAAACCACATACCATTGCTAAGAACCTTGTGATTCCTACTGCTATCAGAATCGCTGAAATCATGTTTGGCAAAACAGAAGCAGATAAAATTAAAACCATCCCACATTCAAATGACACCATGACAGGAAGAATTGATGACATGGCAGAAGACATAATTAAACAAATTTCAGAAAAAGTCATCCAGAAAAAACAGTTCGCTTTACAGATTGATGAATCTACAGATGTGTCCAACTATGCATAACTGATTATGTTTGTCAGATGCATTGATGATAAAGACGAGCAAGGGAATACAGGAACAAATATATGGCTGCAAAGAATTGGACACAAAAACAACAGGAGAGGACATTTTTAAGATCTGGAATGAGCACATTGTAAAAAAAATGGATCATCATGGGAGTGGTGTGCGTCTGTGCACAGACAGAGCAGCAGCAATGGTAGGTTGACGAAGTGGTCTTGTTGCTCACTTAAAAGGTATAAATCCTTTAATCAAGAGGAACAATTATATTATCCATAGGCAGGCATTGGCTGCAAAGCGACTTCACAAAGATTTAAACAGTGTGGTGGGAACGGCCATGAAAACAGTAAACTTCCTAAAAGTACAGGCTCTGAATTCACGTCTTTTACAATCGCTGTGCCATGACACGGGAACTGAGCATACTACTGTACTTCTTCACACTGAAGTTCAGTGGTTGTCACGTGGAAGGTTATTGAACTGCCTGTTCAAGTTGAGAAATTAAATTACTGTCTCTCTCAGAGAAATCTGAATTCTTACCGCATTTTGAAGATGAAGTATGGATTTGCAAATTAGCCTATCTTTGTGACATTTTTGATAAAATCAATTACTTGAACCTTCAGCTTCAGGGTTATAACACAAATATATTTACCTTGCATAAAAAGGTAAGAGCTTTTAGAAAAAAGTTGAGGTTCTGGAAACATCGAGCTTTGTGTGG